TTATTATTTTATAGTAGTATAATAGTACCTACAGATTACAGACTACAACCTACCGACCGATTATCTTTGCGGTGTATGTTATGTCCCTTTTTCCTTGTATAAACACTGCAACCGAGAGGAGTCAATCGATTATCGATGATATTTTCGTGGTCGGTCAATGCATCACAAACGGGTATAATGTAATGTATAGCAACGAAATGGTCGTATACTTGAGTACCTAATAACCACGTCTTTAATATGCACTTTTTTTAAAATTATGTTTATTGTTTATATCAACGTGTCGTTCCCATCGAGTATATTTTATTTATCAGTTAAAGGGGAAACAAGTGTCGACTTCGTTATCTATTTCTTTGTGGCCACTGGACCGGACACTTCCTGCGAGAAATTCGCGATAAAAAGCCACTGTTGGATTCCTTTACCGGTCAGCAGCCTACATAATATAAACGAAGGAAGTTTGTAGGCAAGCGGGGTAGAACAGGAACCTCAGTATACGGGTTTAAGTGATTTTCGTATTTTTTGTTGTTGTATATGTGTCGAAAAGTGAAAATCGGTTAAGTGTGTCCGTGCGTACCGGCGTGAGAGAGTATGGGCCTAAACAAACCGGCTATTGATTCACACCTGAGGTCCTGTTTCCATTATACGACGAGGCATACTGTAAAGTGTAAATAAAAACCATGGGAACCCTTTGTTTGCGTAGGGTTAATTTTGGCTTAGTTTTTTTTCTTCGCTTTTATAACGGTGGTAAACAAATTGTCCCCAAAGACGTTATTGTAACTTGGAAATAAATATACATTGCTTTTAAAATAATGTCAAATGACATGTTTCAGTACCGAATGCCTATATTACCTATACTTAAATCGAGTAAAGGAATACTGGATAATTCCAGTATTCTCCAAAACTAATGGATTGTACAAATTTAATATTTTTCTATAAACAAAACGAACATTTTATTGCCCATAAATATCGATACTCCGAATTTTAGTTTAATGTTGTAATTTGACTCTAGTATATGTAAGGGCGGAATTGACCATCCTCACTACATAGACCTCCCTCGTCGAATTGTAAATATACGCCCTTATCACATATATTAACCCACAGTGTTAGTGAATTGACCTCCCCGACGTTTAGTCCCATATTAAAAAAGGTTATTATCTTGTGTGAAGTTTTATTCGAGATTATCATATTGGGGATGTTAAAATCCGACACCCAGATAAAAATTGTATTTAATTTTTTTCTTGATTGTGTATCATCAAACCCGAACACCCATATACATGAAATATTGGATGGTTATCTAATTTTTATTCTCAGTGTTATATATTTTAAAATATAAATTATCTGATATCATTGTAAATAACTCAATGGTAATCCGTTTCACATTTTATAATTTAAAGTCTGTGACTGACTATTGCCCGATATTCATATTTCATAAATAAATATAAAAATCTTGATTAATCTATTTCAAACTATTGGTTTAAATAAAATACTAAATGCAACTATAATAATTTCACATATTTCTTTATTTGTGAATATTTATTTTGATGTACACTGTTTAAAATACGTAATATTATACATATTTAATATCATATAAGTTATATTTTATATTATATTTTTAAATGGTAATATTTAGAATTTTGCATACAATTAAAATATCGTTAAAAAACAATGTACAAATGTAATTTTCTTAACTTTAAGTTTGATGATAAGTAAATTCGCTCTAATATTATAGCTAACACCACAAGATTGGCGGAAGGCAAATTTGCAATATTTCTGGGTCAAAGAGAGAACTCAAATAGTGAGGCAGTGTGTTGAGACTGTCTTTAATAATGAAGCAAAAATAAGATGCATAATTTTTGTACGTAGTTAAAATATTATCTTGATCATATTTATATATTGTATTAAATAACATGTTAACGAGCATTATTGGTCATATGATATTATGACACAATTCATTGGCGTATTTGGAATATTTTTAAGAGAGTTGTTGGTTTGTGTCCATGAAATGAGGATATACCTAATACCTATAGATATATATATATATAGGTACAAAAGAATTAAACATACAATTATAATAGTTTTTTTTTTTAATTTAAAAATTGTAAAAATACGCGTTAACTACCAGGGTTATTGGCGTTTTTGAAGAAATACATTAAATTTTAAAACTTCTTAAATACATAACTTCTAAAAATGTATACAAAATATCTTAAAATGATACATTAAGGTTTATGTTATTGAAATTACATGTAATTGTAATATAATCTATGTGGTCTTGTTATATTTTCTGAAATAGGTTTGTCTCTTTGAGGAATTCTAGAAGAGTCGATGTTCTCACTTAATTATAATAATTGTGTGGTCAAAAATGGCATAATTCTTAATGAAAATCGTCATTTAAAAAATATAGCAATATATTAAAATGGTATAGAATATAGATGGTATAGTAATATATAGTATGAGTGGCTTACTGGCGTACTGGCTTATCATTGTAAAGTTAAACACTACATAAAACTAACATAAAAATACTTTTTTAAGCAAACCTATCGACCTTGTTTTGTTTTAATTCAGTATTTATTATTTTTAATATTATACGCAAAATAGTAAATGACAAATAATTTCATCGGGTTTTAAAAATATATTGTTAGTGTATGTTTTTGTTTCATTGTGTAGATATACTATGTATGTTTGATAAAAAAATGTTCAGCATGATTATTATTTATATAGGTATGTTATAATACAAAATTATATTTCACTGGACACGTTTATTGGATCTCAGCTTTATATAAGTAACATATTACTCATATAGATCGGATTGATATAGGTACTTCCTATTCAGAAATATTTTTAGTGATAAGTAGGTCACGGATGTAAATGCAATTTTTATCACTGATAACTTGATCATTTGGTTGTTAATATTTATAAGTTATAACAATTGTTTATTTAGCCTTTGATTGTAATTGACTGAGACTTTTACATTTTGATAAAGCTGATATTTATAAAACTGTAACAAGTATATAAATAGGTATATAAAATACATTTATTCGAGTGTACGTAAGATACAACAATAGGTGTTAATCCTACACTTCAATGCGTTGCCTATAATTTAAATAATGACTGATATCATTCATTACAGTATACCAAATTTTTTTTCATCAATTTTGTAAATACGTAATACAGTAGATGTTATAAACAGTTAACTTTATGTTATATCAAAATATTAGGTAGGTACCCGGCACCTACTGTACAGTCACATAACGTTCAATACGATTTGATATAGTATGAAATAGTAGTAATACAATAGTAGGTACTATAATATACATTTTAATAAATGTAATTGTAACTTATTGGGCCATAAGTGTCGCACACAGAAGTGTCTAAAGGTCGGGGGTGAGGGGTTATTTTAATTTGCCTAGTACGTATATATATGTATATGCATGAATTTGTTTGTTTTATAAGACCATTTTCACGTTTTCTACAGAAAAACCTATCGGTCTGAACACACATTACTCCATGTCTATAAATTATACTCTCCTGTTGGACTAATACGCTTTATACACACAATGATTGTTTATACTGTTTGTAGTTTTTTATATTATAAATCATATATATTTAAAAGGTTGTAAGTCTTACGAATGACAAGTTAACAGCGACGAGTGAGGTTACTATAATTACCATTATTGATGAGTGTTATAGTTTATTATTGATAAAAGTTCGGGAATGTTACTAAAATAAATACAAAAATAGTAAGACAAATTGTACATATTTTTAAAAAAAAATATCATGTTTGGTATTTTTCGAAGGTTATGCGTATCAACGAGACGCTAAACTTTTTTTGTTTATTTATGTTTTGTTAGCATTCATATCAGTTAAATTGGTTATATTTGAAAAAACTGTTTATACATTTATAATTAGTTAACAGATAAATAGTGGAAATAAATGTATAATAATGAGTGATTGTTAGGAATTAATATTTGAACTTGCCGGTTTCTGTTATTAAGTGTAAAGGTATCTAGGTAAGCTACCTAGTATAATTTAGTATAAAAAATTTACCTTTGTTTAATTTTGTTGTCGGACCGAATGTTTTTGATTGCATTTAACCACTCCTCAATTTTTATATTTTAATAATGCGTAACTTGAATACAAAATATAAGTTTATTTATAAAAGTATGAGAGATAAATATTTTAGGCTCATAAAATGGAATATAATTGTAGATATTCTTTTAAATTTAATATGATACCGAAATACGTTGAAGTCCAAAATGTATATGATGATATGAATGAATTTTCATGAATGTTTAAATTATAAATGTTTTAGCTTATTGACACTCAAATGTTATTGACCTTTTAAAGATATTCTTTTGTGAAAAACAGCAAGTAAAAATTGCAAATAAGGAATGAAAATAAGCACATTTATTTTTACAAAATATTTTAAGTTAGGTTTTAACTGTTTTGTTATGCTTATGACCGACCACCGCTCTTATATAATACAATTAATTATGATATTAAATGATTGCTCGTCGCTATCAAATATAAAGACACATAATATGTATCCTACACCGTACACTGGCTGTACTTTTCTCACTTTTCAATGTAATTCAAGTCTGAAGTCAGTTACCCATTAGCCGTTGTGGTTGTAGTACAACGATTGGTTTTAAAAATAATTATTATTATAATCAAGCGGTTGCTCTATTTTTACGACAACGTGTTTAGCTCCGCGAAATGGTAAAATGACTTTTATTATAATCCTTAAAAAATCTATATCTGTGGTTGGAACCGATACTCAGGTCGGATGAAATATAATCTAATCGCTGTCAGCAGCACACATAATATGTTTACAGAGTGCTTTGATATTGACGTAATGCCTTATTTAGCAAACATGCAAAGTTTTAGCACAAAGTAGCATTAAGTTTCCCGTTCGATGGTTAATATGTATTGTGCGTGACAAAAGTCGAATGGGTTATGAAAACTAGCAAACTATAAAATATATATTTCTTGTTTATTTCGTTTAGGCTTATCGGCCGTAGCAGCAGCGGAATCGTCGTCGGAACAACTCAGCCAGCATCAGCTCCACCACCACCACCTGCAGCACCATGTGGTGGTCGGCGTCGGCGGTGACGGAAGGAGCGATTGCGGCGGCGAGTTCGACACGTCCGCCGAGGAAGACAGGGCGGCGGCGGACACCATCGACGAGCTGAACAACCGTCGCGGTGACGTCGTGACGACAACGGTTGTGGCCGCAGCGGAGGAGGCGAGCGATGAGTCGCCGCCGGCGGCCACAACGACCGCGGCGCCGTCGTCGTCACAGCAGCAGCGACAGCGTTGCGACGGCGCGACCGATGTGGTGACCGCGGCGGCGGACGAAGAAAATGGCGGCGGGAGCGCGGGCACGCCCAGCATCGGCTACGGGTCGCCGGCGGTAGATGGTGCGCCGGTCGGTAGGACGTCGTTCGGGTCGGAGGAGGAGGAGCCCGCCGCCGTCGACCGTTTACAGCAACAACCGGTTCACGGGACGGCAGACGAACGGCCGACCGGCAACGTGTACGTACGCCGCGATGATATGAACTATCATCATCCACACCACCAGCAGCACCAGCACCAGCAGCACGACAGTCCGCCGCAGCTACACGTAAGCACCAGTGCGACGACTACGACAACGTCGACGACCGGTGTCATCAACAACAACAACAACAACAACAGTAACAGCAACAGTAGTGGACCGTCGCCGAACAGCCGTTACGACATGTTGGTTGCACAGCAGACTTATCAACAAGCCAAGTACGGCAGTGGCCGGGACTTGATGGCCGCTATGTTCCCGCAAGTATTGATCGCGGGTCCGCAACAGATACATCAGCACCAGCAACAACGCGATGAAGACGAAGATTTTTACGAGTACCAGCAACAGGCGTACCAGCAGCAGCAGCAGCAGCAGCAACAGCAACAGCAACATAGCAAGTTCGAACACATCGTGCTCAAGCAGGAGCCGCTAGACAGAGTTCAAGTATACACCGACGAGTACTTCCACCAGGATCACCAGCAGCAATTGTCCGTGCAGCTCCAGGAGCAACACTGTTCCAGTCCGGGCAGCTCGGCGGGCGGTTACGACGAGGAAGTGGTGGTGGCCGCTGCTGCGGCCGCTAAAGGTGAACTACTCGACCTGCACTTGGCCCGGTCCGACGGTGGCGCGGGACCCGGACAGCAGGAGAATCCCTTTGCGCATCTCGTGGCCTCGCTGCACAGTGACTCGGGTAGCGCTTCCCCGTTGCAAGGCCATTTGCACGACGACCAACAACTGGGTGGATGTGGTTCGCCCACCGTCGGGTGTCAGCAGCCGCACGTGGCCGACCACTCGTATACGCCGTCGTCCACGGCTACCGATCAGCAAATTCCGCAACACTTGTCGACGCAAAACCATCACGGCGTCTACCACAGCAGTTCCAACGTCATACACCACAACACTTCCAACATGTCCGGGTGAGTTTCTCTTGAATTATTCATTTCCCGAGCTTTTTACCACCCCCGTCTCAACTCCGATCGTTGTGCAATTCGCGTTTTCGCGTTCTCTCTCTCTCTCTCTCCCTTGCACACACTTTGTCTCTGTTTCGTGTACGGTTCAGACGCAAACTTTCGTATATAATTGCGGGCCCCCACGTGTCGGCGATCGTAAAGATAATAATATATTATTAACGAACGTCGTGTTATGAAATCGTTTTGTCAGACGTCCGATACTCCGATTAACGTGTATTATTTATATATATATATATATATATCATAAAATCATATCTAATTCTGATCGATAATAATTAGGTTTCGGCCGGCGCGCGTGTGTGTGTGTGTGTGCGTAAAGGTAACCGGTGGCGTAATCGTCGTTATCGGTTATCGAGGTTAAGGGCCTCTCCGCCGTTCGTTTGTACAATAATGTTATATTTTTAAGTAGCAGTCGGCCGCCGAGATGACTCCCGAATCGTTTGCGCGCCGCTATCTTTGCGTCTGGCCGCGATCTCGTCCATCGATCACGTCTTGTACGATATTTTTGTAATAGATCCGATGACGGTGGGTGGGTCGAATAGTAGTGTCGTTGTCCGCGTATCCCGTCTTCTCCGTCGGTAGCAGACGGCGCGCCGGTGGCGGCATAGTCGTCGTATTCCGATCGAACCGTCGTCGTTGTCTTTATCGTATCACTCTTGTAATTATTATTATCGCTTGACTAACACCGACCGCGATCCTTTCGGCTTTTGCGGTTTCCACGCCAAACGTACACGATTTCATCGCGCATTTTTCACACCGAACACTACACTGGCCGGCCACGGGGTGTCTGAACCAGATAAGACTCTCCTATATCGGATTAGAGTTTTATTACTCGACAACTTACGGTGCAATGACCCACATTGTAATAATATAACGATATTTTATCGTTTATATAATATTTTATAGTAGACGATTATTATTGTGTTGACGTCGAACAGTTCTCATACTTTCGTGCTGCGGGATGCCCTAACATTTATTTTATATTTAGCACCGGCGCGGTGATGACGAACGTTCCTCAACACTAATGTAATTCCTTTTCGGAGTTATCGACTTCGAAAAGTTTACGACGAATCAAATTATAATTTTAAATCGTACGTCATTAGGGTGTGTGTGCGTTTATGAAGGCCATTACGTGGTACAATATAGTTCGTTCGCTTCGATAATTGGTTTTATTTCTCACACCGTAACATTGAAAGTCTAATATTGGTTTCCTATGTAATTTTTCGTACATAAGTAATCTTTATTTCATCACTATTATAGCAGTATAATATAACGTCTATTCTGGACGTTAGATTATTGTATTATATTATGGGCTTTAACAATTAGTTTAACATTTTAAATATATATTACATTGATGATCGTATTAATTTTGAATACTTCGACTATAAAAATTAAAAACTACCTATATATCTACAATAAATTATTGATCTCATTTAGTAGTTTTAAACAAAATTAAAACTATATTGTTTTGGCTTTTAATTTTAATTTTTAAATTGAGCCGTTAATGATCGACTACGGTGTATAGTATAATTCATAAAACTAGCCACATCATAATAATAAAATGATTTTTTTTTCATTTGGTACGTACAAAATAAATATCCGATTTTATGAATAATATGTTTTTCTTTTTGCCTTAATGTTTTATCATGCTATGTAAGTATTTCAATTTTAAAAATAGTATTTTCATTTTATGAAATACATTATGCCAAATAATTAGGTATACAACAAATGCGTTTAATCATTTGTGGTAAGAACTAAGAGCAGCTTAAATATTATATTATTAATTTTTCTCTTCGAGAGTTTAATTGTTTAATAATACGATATAAGTATTTAAATGGTTTAAAGCAATTATAAGTGTAATTTTATATACATATATAATATGTGTAACATTTTAAATATGATGTTGCATTATTTTCATCATTTAGTTTTTAATTTGTTTTAGTTTGTAAAAAGTGTATTCGGCTATAATTATTAAACTTGGGTAATGACTTCAGTTTTCATTATTTTACTTATGCAAATCTAAATTTGATTTAATATTATATCAAGTATTATGGTGGTGGATTTGTTGTGTGGCGTAGAACTATTTTTAAGTCCATTGTTTCCAAAATATTACAAAACCTTTAAGTCATGACGTGTGGTTAAATTAAATAAATATAAACTTGTGAAATTATCGACAGTAAATTATACGCTGCCCTATCCGACGTATTATTGCATACGAGTCAGGTTGAAACGTATATTACCCCATCTACCCGGTCGTTTACCTCCATCAGAAGATTTTTCAAAATTTGCGTTGATGTCGTCGCATTTGAGTCTCTCTCAGTCGAAAGAAAACAATCCTTAATACATAATATATTTCTATGAGTGATTCACGGGTTCTCAGAAAAAAAAAAAAAAAAACCATCAGCAAATCCGACGAAACACCTACTATTGCAAAACAATTATTATGCAGTATGCACGCTCTGCTCTTGGTAAACGCGAAACTAAGGAGTACGATTTACAAACAGATTTTTGTCGCAATTCTGCAAACGGCATTACATATTTTTATCGAGGTCAATGATCATCTTCGGGTCTTTGATATTTAAAACGATGGCGTCATAGCTTTAGACGACAAACGCCGAAGTAGTTCAGATTTAATAAAAATTCTCAACCTTTTTTTTTAAACCGTATCATTTTTTACAGTCAGCTGTTTATTTCTTATGGACCAATTAAAAAAATATATAATATATATTTCGCGGTATAAACTATAAATCTTCAAGTATCCCAGAAAATATTCTTAATTTTTTTTAAATGTTAAACAGGCAGTAATAGTTGGTAGTAGTAGTTGCAGGCCAGCATATAAAATAACCTCTTTATCGTCTCGTTTTTGCGCTATCTGTAGACAAATTAGATTCTCGTGTTTGCGTTTATGAGGTTTGATCGGAGGACAACCGTGCCCCGATAATGTCTGGAACTAAAACAAAAATTATATTTTAACGACTGGCTAGTGTTCAAAGCATTTAGTTTTTCTGGGCTTAAACTTATAACAGTATGTTTTTCGTTTAATTGTTTTTAATATGACATTTTTATAAAATTACCGTGATTACGATTTGTATTTCATCTTACAACTTAATATTTGATGTACTATAATTATTAAATGAATGGTATTATATTATATTGAAAATATATTATTTTGTTGTTTTTTACCAAAACAAATAAGAAACAAAAAACAATAAATAGTTGGAAATATTTTAGAGTTATCGTTCAGTGTACCACTATTATGGACGTTACAATATTTTAAACCCATATTTACGCAGTACTTCAGAGAATAGCATTTTAATTGTTTTAAATGCATTCTTGTCATTCTATTCAATCACGTGTGTGGGTTTACTGCCATGACCAGTGAATAATAGTAATCAAATACGTGCCGTTTTACAAAAAATATACTGTTTTAATAATTATTCGGTTACCAGAAATTTATCATCTCTTTAATTATAATCCACTGACCAAATCACCAAATTGAATGCACAACGAACGTCTACGATTTGTTGGCCGATCGTTAGTTGTTGAGAATAATAGCTACACAACATTCGAATGTGGAAACCATAACAAAATATAATGTAAAATATAAATTATTAATTAAATTGAATTACACGAAGTGGAATGCAGATGAGTAATAAAAAAAAAATCTTCACATTTTTTTAACGTTGATGAATAAATAAATGAATAACTATTTCATAATAATCATCTAGTGTTTTGATTTTTTTAACTTGAGCTTATTATTTTTGATTAATATTTTATTTTATTCATTTATAATGTTAACGTTAACGATGTATTCGTTTATTACTAAGAATTAGTATTATTACAATATATTGATTTCAAATTTGGACTTTTTGTCGTCTGTATATTAAAAACCTTAACGATCCTTGTTATTGCGGCTCGGTGCAAGGCCACCAAGACTTTAAAACTGCAGTTAGCTACGCCGCGGAGAAGTGCACATAATAATAATTTTGATAACCGCGTATGGGTTTTTTTTTATTTTTTTTAAAAATAATTGTTGATTTTTTTGTTCATAGCCTGAACACGTAGGTACATTACACTTGGTGATTTTTGTATGAAGGAATATCAAAAAACATTTTTTTTCTTTAAAACTGTATTAGCAATTTATTCTACGTCATGCTCTTCCGTCTCGATGACTAATAATAACTAATAAGTAAAATATATTAATAAATGTGAACGATTATTTCGGCATCGCAGCAATGTTTTCGTGTAAAAGGATCGAATAAAATTCGGTTCTATTTTTAATAAAATACTCGAGGGCGAACGGAATTTTTCCCAACTATTTACGATTAATGCGCGCACAGTGTGTGTGAGCGTGTGTGTGTGTGTGTGTGTGTGTATGCATGCACGCGCATGTATGTTATATATTATTATTATTATGTACATATACATATAAGTAATTGTATGCGCGTGTATGTGTCGTAGTATGTACAGTGTAAAACGAGCGTCGCGCGTTGCAAGAGGAATGAAATATAATAAAAACCGTCGTTGTGTTGTCGCGGCGGCCGCCGCCGCCACCGCCCCCGTCCTCTGCGGTTGATTCGTACGACCGACGGCGGCCTAATGAATAAATGGTAATTGTTCCAACACGTTCTCCGTGTGCTCGCCCATTGTGAGCGCAGCAACGTGTGCAAAGACCGTGTAAATTCATTATTACTTCGAAACGAAATGTAAAAAAAAAATGTTATATTTATGCTGGCGACCGTTTTTTTTCCATCTAATTTTATGGACGCGATTTAAGTGTTTGCGCTTGAGACCAAGGACACAACACCGCTTCTCTCCCCCTCTCCACCATCCCGAAGTTCGTTTTTATATTTTATTACCCGCGTAGGCCTAGATAAAAAGCGATTTCGACGCGTTTCCCTCGGCGCGTTAGCGCGAAAATCCACCTGTAGTTTGGTACACATGCG